GGGCCACTAGGGTTATGTACAGTCACTCTACCCTTACTTTTACTCTCTTTATGTAACAAATAGAGAAGCCTTGACTGTGCTCTGTTCTGTTGTAAAGCAGGAAAGAAGCAGTTAGAGCATGAAAGAAGTGTAGGGAGGAACACAAGACATAGTTGAGTGTGTCTCTCCACTTCTTGAGTGCTCAGCTTGAGTGCTCAGCTCTGTGTTTTGTACTCTGGTAGTCTATAATGTGGCTTGGGTTTAATTTTCGAACTTGGTGTCTATCAAATGTGGGTTCATTTTGTTATTGGTTTTTGTCCTTGCTCAAGAATTTTTCATAGGGAACTCTACTTTTGTTTTCCTCCCTCCACACACAAAAAAAGATTAACACTCCAACTCCCAATTTAACATGGAAACAGTGAGCAAAGAAATACTTTGTGGTTTTTTTATTTGTGTATGTTTTGATATATATTTTTCATTGTTTTTAGCAACTTGATTAAAAGAATGTCTTTTCTTTCTCTCTTCAGAAGATTTCAAACAATGTGTTGAGCACGGTGAAGAGTCTGACCAAGCAAGGGGAGGGGATCCAGAAGTCCAGCAATGTGAAACCGAGGTAATGGTATATGAGGAGAGAATGCATGAAAATGGTAACCTTGGAAGCGCAGAGCTGAGGCTTGCAGGAAAAAAGAAAATCAACCAAAGTGAGAGAAAAGCTAACAAGGAGATGGTTGATGTTCTCCAGAGCAGGACTCAGGAACTGAGCCTTGTAACAAGAGAGTCTGAAAGTAAGAGCATAGACTACAAGGAAAAGGTTGAAATTGTCCAGGAGAGGACTCAGGAGGTGGGCCATGCAGCAGCAAAGGAGGTCAAGAAAAAGGGAAGTGGATTTGATCAGACAGATGGTGCAGCAGCAACATTAGATGGTGTTAATGATAGTGAATCAAACAGGGATCAGACAGGACAGCCTGTCAAAGCTCAAGACATTCCTTATTCTATTTTGAGTAAAATCTGCCTGAAACTAAATGCAAAGGATGACTTGTCTTTTAGAGATTTTCGCCTGCTTGGAGAGAAAATGGGATTTGATAAAGATTTGACAAAAGTTTTAGAACAGAAAAGTAATCCTACTTATGAACTTTTTCAATTGTGGCATCCAAATCCTAAATCAACTGTGGAAAATCTTTTAATGATACTCAAAGATGATGAAATGGGGAGATGGGATGTTGTAACCGTTCTGGAAGACTGGTTGGAAGAAAAAGGGATTAAGAATTAGTTAGAAATAATGGAGAGTGTATAATATTAGGGTGGTTTGGCAGGAGGAGACAAATGTTTTCAGTTTTAACTACAGTTGATACACTGCACTGATAGATGAGGTGCTGAAATATTTTCAGTGGCAGAACAAGCATGTGAAGGGTGTTTCCTGCAATTAAATTGTGAGATTTAATCAGCAAATGTAAAAATGTTACCTTAAAAAGTACAAAGGTAGGGAATATTATAGGAGTATAACTGTTGTAGTAGTGGAGGAGTTGAAAAAGACCGATAAACTGTTTTAAAAAACTTTTAGTTTTTGAATTTGGAATTTTAGTCTTTTTGCATTAGTTATCAATCTTAGGTTGACAATATTAGCACAAATAAAAGTTTTTGTGAATCACAAGTCACAGAAATTGACAAGCACAACTGTGTAGCAATCATAGCCAAAGCTGTTTATTTTTCTAAATTAGATGGCTTTTTAGCTCAGTGTTTTCCACAGATTTTGAAGAAGTCTGCTGTGATGGTAAAGTAACCAGAGCTTCCAAATCAAGTGCAAATTCAAGCTACGCTCGAAATTGTCTTACAAAAAAAAAAGGGAATTGTTTTCTGTGGCTTTGTCAAACGAAAGTAGCGGGCACTTGAGACGTGAGTATCCGGCAAAAACACCGGCTGCCAGGGCTTCTGGAGAACACTGTAAGCATTTATATATAGACTAAGTAAGTACTGTAAGAAAGTGGTTCATAAGCAGAGGGTATCCATGGAATGGCCTCTCACCTGGTACTAACTTAAAAATAAATATCTGTGATTGAAAGATTAAAATAATAATAACTCAAAATAGATAGGTTATAATAATAATAACTCAAAATAGATATTTGACATTGAAACTGGGAGAAAAGAAATGTGATACCACTTAAAGTAGTGTCACAAAGAGAAGAAGTCTTTGGTTTGAAGGTTTATTTTTTATGTTTAAGTGTAACTTTACTTATGTTTTATTTAAGAAAAGGTGATCTTTTGTGAAAATGTCACATTTACAATAAGCTTTTTGTAAATAAAGTTTCACACATTGTATCTGTGAAGTTTTGGTTGTGGTTAACATATACTTCCAGTTTAAAAACACAATGAAATTTTAATGAACAAACTCTTGGATCCTCAGTCAGTCTTCTTGGGTTATTTCCTTTGTTCCGGTTGTCCACCTTGATTAATTTGCGTTGGGTTTAATACAACTCAAAAGAAACTGGTGCCATAAGCCACTAACCATCATCAAACCTTGGTTATGAATTACCACTAAGAAGGGGTGGGTAGGGAGTGCACACCTACATGCTATAAAGGGCTTTGCTACGGAACTCGTGTCCGCATCTTATTCACAGTACATACCTTTTTCAGGGGCGCGAATGAGACAGCTGAAAATAGCTAGAAATACAATATCAAAGAGGTTTTATCCCTAACAGAAATCAGAATCTCTCTTAAAATATGTTTTGAGGACACTATGTGTAGCGTTATATGAATGATTTTCACAAATTTCGGCAATTTCGCGGGTCACTAACTCGTTCGGACCCTAATTGCTACATGTGGGCCCACTCTTTTCAAGGGATTACTTTTTGTAGACCATAGTCCCCTCTACTAACTATGTGTAGACGTAGGCAGACATCTATATAGACATCTATTAGATGAAGTCTTCGAGGAAATGATAAATGGATTATAACTTTGTACACGGGATCTCTCGATATGGCGAGTGGAAACTCAGGTAAGTTAGAGGCCTCTGTCATTCATCTAAATAGGGATGTCATTCTGTAATTAACACTCAAATGAGCTTTGAAAGTTACTAGCAGACGCCCAACTCCGTTAAAATGTTTAAATAGTTCACTTTAAGATGCGAAAGTTTACTATAGGTAGTGTATGGCAATATTACGATACCAAAAAATTAAACTCGATTTGGCTATCATATAAATTTTGAACCAACTCACAAACTGTATGACTTGGCAATTTGGTGACTGGATTCATTTGCATTGCGGAATTAAGTTTTATTCTAATATATCCTCGGGACTTGAGATAGATATTAGGGGCATGTCAGTTGTTGAAACATTCGAGATATTATCTTGAAAGACTCTTTGTTCTGAGTAAACCGGAAATGCTTATAGTCAATTACGGCAATAACATAAGGTAAAATTTCCGCACAGCCCCATACTATTGTAAAACAATTCTGTTTTCCCAATGGCAATGTGTTGTTTTTGTCATTGTTTCCTCTATCCAAAAACTGAATGCATAATGTAGTATGGGGCTATGCGGAAATTTTACTCTTGAAGTTGCACATTACGAAACACAACGTGAACATAATGCAATTACATGTAGACCCAAATAGCCATATCTATTTTCTTCCATCATGTATTTGTGAACTTATCACGATGGAGAGGTTAAAATAACTTGGTTTGAAATTTTAAAAATGTTGTCTAGGTACAAGTAATTTTAAATTATCTTAAACATTAAAATTTTAATTCCATTTGAAAGAAAGGTATTGGTTGGAGTAATTATGGTACTGTAAGATCTCTGTGGTTGATTAAACAAATGCAATCACCTTTTTTGTGGGGGGTAAATATGTTTGTTGGGAGTGGGGTTTCAGTGATTTCTAAAAAGTTTTTTTAAATGAGATGAACTACAGGTTTTAAGATAATCTTAGTTTAGTTTACTTTCATATTATTTTTTGTCTAAATTGCAGTTTCAAAACTGAATGTTACTTTGGCATCAGATGTTGATGGCTGGAACAAAACTGTCAATGGACAGTTAGTAATTGAATTGGGAAGAAATGACAGGCTCTGTGTGACTGGTTTTGTGCCAAAGAACACACAACAACAGCGAGAACATGCCAGAAGTCTAAACATTCAACTTGTTGAATCTAAGGACCATGATGGATTTTCATCAGCAGAGCTACTGTGTTTTCCTCCTGATAATCTTAATATTGATGTTCTTTTCATACATTCTCATGGAACTAATTTGGGTCGACAAGCTCAAGCCATAAAAGATTTGAAGAAATGCAAATGGGTTCAGGTTGTGCATTCGTTTCATGAAGAATGTCATACAGCTAGGTATGAAAATGAAAATGAACTGCAAAGGAAAATGTGTGAAAAGGCTGATGCTGTTATTGCAATTGGTTCAAAGACTGCAGAATCATGTAGACGAGCACTGCGTTATTCCTTAAAACAGGAAAATGTCATCAACCTCACACCAGGTGTTTGTGAAGACCTTATTGGTGTGCGCCGGGTTTATGAGGATTTGGCAACCTTCCATGTGCTAATAAGTGGATCTTTGAGTCATTTTAGCATCAAAGGATGTGATGTTGCAGTGAAAGCAATCAAATTATTGAATACACCATCTTATCACCTGACTGTTGTTGTGAAGTCACATGATGAGACTGCTGGCATTACAAAGGCTTTGCTTAATGAGGGGATCAATTCACAACAACTGGATGTGTGTGTTGCTGGAAGCCGTGAAGAGTGGCGAAAATTGATGTGTAAAGTGGATCTTGCCATTAAACCTTCAAGAAATGAAGGATTTGGAATGAGTGGTCTTCTTGCCATTTCTGCAGACTTACCTGTGCTGATCAGTGAACACTGTGGACTTGGCATGGTTCTAAAGACTGTGTTATTTGGAAATTCACACGTGGTGGACTCAGTCAAACCAGAGGTTTGGGCTGACAGGATACAGCAAGTCAGAGATAAAGACCCAGAACTTCGCCGCGAAGAAGCAAAGCAACTGAGGGATGGTTACACACAGAAGTTCAACTGGAAGAATCAATGTGAGAAAGTAGTGGAGACTCTGTGTAAACTTGGCCAAAAGATTGGTATGCATGATTCAAATGTAACAGTAACAGTGACATTTGTTAATTATTAAGTTTTAAGGATTTACCAACAATATGGCATTAAAATCTCTCTAGTTTTCAGCCCTTTTGTGTCAAGTAAAAGCAAATTATCCTCGGCCACCAACTTTTCATTTTTTAATGGCTCTTTATGATTTCATAATATCTCAACAGTATCATGTACCATGATAAGTTCTTGATTGTTGTTATTGTGGTGGAGAGAAGACTTGCTCTTTTTTTTTAACCCTTTTCACCCCAACATCAGTATGCATATTCTCCCTAACATCAGTATGCATATTCTCCCTAACATCAGTATGCATATTCTCCCTAACATCAGTATGTATATTCTCCCTAACATCAGTATGCATATTCTCCCTAACATCAGTATGCATATTCTCCCTAACATCAGTATGCATATTCTCCCTAACATCAGTATGCATATTCTCCCTAACATCAGTATGCATATTCTCCCTAACATCAGTATGCATATTCTCCCTAACATCAGTATGCATATTCTCCCTACTCAGTTCTCTAAGATTCCTATATATGCTGACAAAGAGAATTTGTTTAATCAATCAAGGGTTTCTTATGTTGGTGATCGTTTCTATTATCTCATATCCTGTGACATGATTAAGGAGTGATATTGTTAGGAGAGTTTAGATGCTAATCACCCTTAGTGGTTACAGGGTTAACTGGAATGAAAGGGTTAATTACATTACATTCATAGCCATTTTTCTGCCACAGAGCCTGGAAAGTCTTAGTAGTTTACCAGTTATGAAATACTGTTCTTTTTTTATGTGATTGCTGTGTCTTCAGTCAAGATTGCTATATCAATAGTATTTAGATTTTGGAATTATTAAATATATTGGGAAACAAAATATAACAAGCTGGTGTTTTGAGCCAACACCTAGCATTTTGATTTTTAAAATGTGGCTTCAGGCCCTAGAGGTTACTTGGACATAGAACATACATTTACCTAATGTTTCAAACTACATGCTACATTGCACTCTGTTTACATGTTATTGTAGAATTTTTGTCATTTTATGTATTATTTCTCCTGTTACAGAGGGACCTACAGAAAAGCAGGACCAAGAGGAGGCAGTAATGAAACTTACTAAAACAGTTGAAAAGACCAACTTATCTGATGAAAGCTCTACCAGAGAGGAAAAAGACACTAAGATGAAACAGGATGTGGTAGATGCTGGAAGAAGCCTGGCAAATGAACGGCTGTCAATGAGTGTCAGAAACTTACCTCTACCAGTATATTCGAGAGTCTGTTTGTCACTGAATGTCCTGAGAGATGTGCGATGGGATGACTTTCGAATGCTGGGTGAGAAAGTTGGGCTCTCTAGAGATGAGATTGACTTTATACAACAGCAGAGAAACCCCACTGATGAAATTCTGAAAACATGGTCATCAAATCCCCATGAGGCAACAGTGGCAAAATTGATTGAACTTTTGAAACACAAAGATTTTAGAAGAATGGATGTGGCACAAATACTTGAAGAATGGGTTTCTGAGATGAATGAGAAGTACAATAATTAATAGTTAGCATTTTTAGAAATTCTTTCACTGTAGAAATGCTCTAAAATCACAATAACAGCATTTATGAGTTGTTACTTCAAAGGGACTTAAAGCTTTTAGATGGACATTTTTTTGTTTATTTTGTTTTTATCTTCCTTAATCTTTAATTAAGATGTTCTTATAATGGCTGACTGTTAATAAAGTACAACATATTGGCACCTCAGTTTTGTTAAGCTTGTGGCTATGTCATGTCCCTTACGCATTTAAAACCAAATAAAATTTATAAATAGTTGTATTAATATAATATGAAGCAATTTTTTAGTTGTTTTGTTGGATTTCTAGGGAAAAATGTTACCCAACCCTTTAGCAAACAAGTGAGGTGACAAAATTCCCTACTGTCAGAGAATCAACGATTTTTTCTTTTCCTTTTGGTTCACAGTAAACATCAATGTTTGACTGGGAATGTCAATGAATCAGATGTGGAACTTTCCATGTTTCTTACATAAAGGCAATGCAAACATTATTTGTCATGGTGTTTTAAAGGAAACAATAATTTTTATTGCATTATAAATTATGTATCTTATGAGTTTGGTACTGATGGACCAAACTCGTTTTAAATGTTTTAAACATTTCAAGGAAATTTTGCCCTTATTTAACCCAAGCTTTTCTTATACTATTAATTGAAACTGTAGCAATAAAAAATATCAGTCAAAAAGTTGTGACAAAATTCTATGTTTACTCCAGGAGAACATGATTGGCAACACAGAATGCTTTGTTTATTATGGTCACTAATTTTGACAGTAAAATGTATCATTATGCTCTGTAATTTAGTATTATCAAGTGAGTTGATAATGTAAATTGGCCACTCTTAAGAGTTTAAAAGCTGATGTTTCAAGTGTTAACCCTTTGTTGGAGCAATTGGAGGAATTGTGGATTGTGTATGTTTATGAGCAAAAAGTGGAGCTGCGCTAATGGTGGGAATACAGTGACAACAAAACTATGTATCATTATACTCTAATCACTCAGAAACGTGTACAAAATATTTTGTAATAAATATTCAGTAAACACATAGTTCCAGGCAGTTATTGATGTCCATCAGCATATATTGGTTACTTTAACACTAAGAAGACATATTCTCCTACGGTTTACATCAAAGTTCACACGCAAGAAGAAAAAAGCAAGTGTAAGAGATGCCTTTGAATGGTTTCTGCATAACTTACAATCTCCTTAATAGCAAAACAAATCCCACCACAGGCACCTCAAGCTCCAGCTGTGAGATGATCATCTTGCATAATAAGAGTTATGGTGAAAATATGAGCTATAGGAATATTTATGACCACTCTTAAGAATAAAAAATATAGTCAAATTCTCAACAAAAATACCTCACCTTACTTTCACAGTACATTGCTTCTTTTGTGACCGCTTACTTTGTTGCAATGAGGCCATTTTAGAAAGTTATCCAATTCTAGGTTAGAGTAGTAAACCTAGAAATGAATAACTCACTAAAATGGCTTCTTTTCAACATAGTAAGCAGTCAGACAGCGAGCAATGCACCATGGAAGTTCTTCGCCAACATTTTTTGTCACAATGAATTACTGTCTAGGAATGGCAGTTTAAACTGCACACAGAGCTAGCATTAGTCATTCATCTCATTACTCATTTCTTTGGTTATTTTTAAGCTTTATTTCTATTTTCTGTTTTTAAACATAGATGGTACTCCAACAGGTTGAAAGACTCGCAGTGGATCCCTTGGGCCTGGTATCATGTAAGGAATCAAGCCTGTCAAAAAATTGCACAAGTAGAGTTATATACACCATGACAGGGGCAAGTAGACTGCAATAGATGGAGCACTTTGCAACTAACCAACTGCAAAGCGTAGTGCCCAACGGATTGATGTAGAAAGTTAGGATCAGTGGAAAGGTCTTAGAATTGTCTATACTGTATTCTATTCTCTCTTACATCACCACAACCTTTTGTGCTCCTGTGCACTCCTCCTTGAGTTCTCTAGGCCACATTCACAAAAAGGCAACAATACATCTTAAACTGATAAAATTCCACAAAAAAAATCCCAACAGCATACCTTTGTCTCGAGCTTCGATTATTGCCTTTGTTAAAAGTTTGTGCTGTTTTTGGCAAACACCTGTAACAAAAAGAGCAGAAAAAATTAATGCAATTGAAAACTCCCCCTCAATATTTTAAGGAAAACAATTACGGTAGGTAAATAAACAAATGATCCAAGCACAGCAAAAAAAAAAAAAAGCTGTATAACTGGGTTTTCCATAATTTTTCCCATGAGCAGCTGCCAATGATGTAATAGCCAGCTGTGCCATTGGGTGAAATCAAAACAAGAGAACTTGCTTGCAGGCTAAACAGACAACAGTCGGAGGTCTTATGGGCAGCAGTTGACTGCCACTAAGTGCCTTTTATTGAGACTCCTGGGTAGCAAGTGCTCACACTGACCAAGATGCGAATTAAAAGGTAGGCACATGATTAAATTACTCGAGTTGGTTATGATAGCCTCAAAGAAATGAAAAAGAGAAGGGTTACTATGTGCAGTGCTATATTTGTCCTCACTATATAATAACTTCACTGATCCTTTTGTAGAAAGCACTATCACCTGTTTTGATTGTTTCAAGAATCTTTTCTGTGTGAGGGCAGATGAACTGCGACAATAAACCCACATCCTGAAAATCAAATTTAGTGCAATCTTTAAGCTGTTGAAGTTTCTGAAAACAACTTCTAATGTTGTGCATTTTCTATACTTCTACAAAATTTTTTTTCTTCACTTGCCACCAACCACTGTGCCAGGCTAATGTGTCAGTCAATTCCGAGCATCAACCTCTCCAGTTTTCCCACACATTTGAACTTTTATAGATTAGCTCATTCAAATTCCTGCCAGCCAGGAAAAATGCCTGTGACTTCCCTGGAGGGAGGAAATTGCAACAACCTGAAATTCATTGCAAGCTCAGCCATAATTCCACGTTAAGAAAAATCTAGGGTGACTCAATTGGCACAGTTTGTAGATCGACTACTGAATACATGGCACAACTTGAAATCTAACAAGTGCATGATTGCCAAAGACGGAGACTACTCCCCACAAAATATTGCATGACCTATTCCTAGGCACCAGCAAAGTGTGAGAGTATACATCTTCCACTACCTTTGTTTCACTCAGTCAGAGAAGGAAAAAAGGATGACACACTTCAAGCATTACCATGCCTAACTTGTCCATGCACCATGGGGACAGTGGAGAACCATAACTGTTACATATTTATAACCAAAACCACTCATAAAATACCCTGACACTGGGCCAATTTGACAGGTCACATGACCAAAGATACAAAAAAGACCCCAGCCACCAGCTGTATGTTATGATAATTTTACTGAATATGACAAAATTAACAAACCAGTTGGGTAAAATGGTATTGTTTCTACAAACACAAGTAGCTGTTAACAAGTTATTACTTTTTTTATTACTCACTGTATAAACCACTTCATAGTTTCTCTCTGCTTTAAGTTGACATATGGGACAGGGATTACTGCATACTTTGGTACCAGCCTGAAAAAGAAATAGGTTGTTGCATTCTACAAAATTCATGACTCACCACTGGTTGCTATTAGTGATGGCAACAAATATTTGGATATTCCTTTTAGGTATCTATAGAGTAATAATACTCAGCTAAAATGCTATTGATAATAATGAACTACTATTCACCAAAGCAGAGGTAGCTGGTAGTGGATATTTATTAATGCCGGAAGTGGCAAGATAAATACCCACCACTAAACCACCTAAAATGAGGTAAATGGTTGTTTTATTACAGTAAAAAAAGTATCACTCCTACTGAAAAATATGAAAGTGTGCTTTCACACAGTGTAAACAACTTGGTCCATGAAAGCAACATCATTCATCCGTGATATTATGCTTATTTTCAACCTTGCAATACTTTTGACTCAATAAAGAAATACAAATTACTATTCTAGTACCCAATGGGAAAACTTTGCAATTATTCCTCAGTGGCTGCCTGTATATATTTAGACTTAACAACAGCCAAAGGTTCATAGTGCAGTCCAATCACATTACACAAATCCCAATTTTGTTGCAAGATTAATATAACAGAGGTCAGATTGACCTGGTGGTAAATACAAAACACCTTTTTTAAAACTGTTTCAGAAGGCTGGGCGAAGCTGTACACTGGCTTTTCAAAGCAACAGGATATTTCTAGAGCAAGCTCTCATGTGTAACTAACCAAAATTTAAATAAAAACTTACAAAGCAGTTCCGTCGCGTTTTCTGTCAAAGAAACAAAACACAAAAGGCAAATTTAGCAATTAGACTAGGAGTGCAGCAACAGATCAAAACATAAAGCTTTCCAAGGGAAAAAATTCCACAAAATTAAGTCCCACAATTGGCAGGTAAGCTTGTTGTACTGACTCAGCAACAAAATCACACAAAATGCATCACCCTCTTGTCTGTAGACTTCACAAATACTTAATTAAAGGATGACTTTATAATTAGAGAAAGAACTTTACCTGAGGTGGAAACTGGCCTTTAAAATTTCTTTGGAAATTTGTCCAGATTGGTTTTCCTCCTTGAGCAAAAATGAAATGAGTAAAACAAAAACTTATCAAACAATTAATATATTGTATATTTTTAGCTACTTTAAATCAGAGCTGCCCAAGTTCTATCATTATCACAGTGAGAATGGTAAAGTATCATTAAAATTAAAAATTAATCTTGTTTCTAACAAGTTGATACTAGACCACAATAATAAAAGAGGAGATAGTCACAACATGCTCAGCCAACTCAGCAACTGTGGTGTTGTAGGAATAATAAAACAAAGATTAACAGCAAATGAGAATTACTGGGCCAGAAAACTTGAAAATGTTCCAGAGTCAATCTACAAGATATAAAACAAAATTTTACTTATTTTGATTATTTGCTATTTATTTACATATCGGTATAGGTATATTGCTTTCTGCTTTATTTTCTAGATTTTCAACTCCAAAGATCCCTGAATTAGATCTAAATTTAATCATAAATATGGTATGTGTTCAGTTTACACCTAGCTGATGGAAACAGCTTGGTAGTCAATCTGAACACATTCCATTGTGAGGCTGGTTTATACTCAGTACACTAGCTTCTATATGAACTTCTAATTATTTTCATTTGAATCACATCCAATATACCACAGACTTGTAAGTTATTTCTATTCTTAGACACTTGATGAATCTAAACTTATATATAGATATTTTAATAAATACAATTATATTACTTATTTAAATGTTGTATTTTTTTTTAATAAATTAGTATTAGACAGGTCCACATCAGCTGCGGCTGCCTGACTCTTAACGTGCATTTCCAAATAAACTAAGTTATGTTATTTTATGATAAGACAAAGAGACACATTTTGAAATTCTTGAATTTGAACTCTACTCTGAATGCATCCTGCAGACAGTATTCACTGAAATAAGAATTCCAGTGATAAGTCAGTTGCAAAATAGTCACTTGTAATTTGGCCTATGAGGCTGTCTATTGTTGAAGTGCCTAATATATCTTGTAGTTTAAAATAACTTAAAATTTGAAATAAGAGCAGTTGATTTGTGTTTCTTTATTCAGGGATTAAAAGAGAAAATACATAACAAACTAGTTTGAAACCAAATACTTTGGTTTAATCAACTAAGTTGATATTGTAAATTGACCAGCTTAAATAGCTTCTGCTGACAATTTGAATGTTTGGCCTTTGCAAGTTAGAGCAAATGACAAATAACTTACCCTCAAAACATTTCCTTCAGAAATTTTTTATGGTGGGCAATTTACATTATCAACTCAGTTCAGAAAGCCAAACTATCTTAAGTTGTAATAATCCCCACCGATACAGCACCACAGTTTCTTTAGAACTTAACCCCATATTCATTAGCTTGAAACCATAATGATTTAAATTTGGATTTAACCCTTGGACTACTTACAGTGACTAGCATCTAATTTCTCCTTACAATTAAGTCCTGAATCAAACATTGGGGTCACAACAATAAAGGAAATGATGACTATGCACAATCTCCTTGTTGACCTCACAAGAGATGTATAGAGAACAGTATGGAGAATTTGCATGTTAATATAAGGGTGTAGAGGGTTTTGATTAGCTTCTACATGTATACTGTAAATTAAAAAAAAACACACATACTTATCAGTAGAATCTGGATCAATGATTCCTCCTTCAATTTTTCCAACTAGATAATTACGCATTGCTGAAGACATCCATTGCTCTTTTCCTGTGAAGAAATTAAAAAGAAAAAAAAGGCAACAAAATAAACAACTAATGTCACATCCAATTGACCATAGGTTTTAAACTGGGTTTACAGACCTTTGGAATTCCATCAAACAAATAAAGATTTACAAGAAGAGATGTCTGTGCTGACAGATCAGCACCTTCATCTTGACTGAAACTGTAAATATGTATGCTGAACCCTTTAACTTCCTCATCAAATTTGTAATTCTCCCTACTGTCAACCGTACAATTCTTATAATGTTAGTTCAGAGAATTTAATATGAGATCAACTAATTATTTCCAAATTGATGTTTTTCTTAATTCTTATTACTTATCTGTTTGATATTGTAAGGAGAAATTCTGTCTTGGTCACTCACGGGAGTTAAATGGTTAAGTTAAAAGATGAACAGTTACCATATTGCACACTTCTAAGGAGTTCTGCTGTAATGGGAGTGATGACTCTGTGGGCTTTGATATTTTTCTTGTCACTTGAATGGGTAATTCCTATAAAATATTGTGGGTACATTAAATGTTATGAATAAAGATCCGTGTTCCCTCACAAAGAAATCCCTTGATATCTTATTAATATGAATCGCACAGACAGTCTATTTCAAAGTGCTTAGTGACCAAATTCTACAATGAATTCCCTTGTAAGTAAAACTGGCGATGATTAAGCGAGAAGTATTGCCAATAATCATGTACATACATGCAGAAGGTACATTCATAAAATAAATAGAACCCAAAAAGTACTTATATTGCATTTAAATCCCCAGCAAGCATGGTCGCTGGAAAAAATTTTTTCCGGCAAAAAAAGATGTAAAAAAATTACGAGCGATTTTTTATTATCAGGCTAACGTAAAAAAATTCAAACCTATCTGAAGACTGCTAAGTTGTTAAGGAAGGGGTTGCACGTGACATATTTACCTCTGGCCCAAGAACGTCGCACGAGCCATGATTGATCCCTTGGGCGATAGTTATATAACGATCTATCTCTGAAACAGAAACTAGAGAATCTTTGTGGAATTTTACGTCCAAAATCACACAATGAATTCATAGCAAGATTCTTCGGTAATACTCGAGGTAAGGCCGCCATATTGAACTTTTTCAATCTGACCCAGTCTACTCACTGACAGATATTTTTGATTGATGGGAAATTGACCAATTGGAGCGTAGTTTCTTTCTTTGACTCTTACATGTCCATCGTCCCTTTGGGGTGTTAGTGTGAGTCCAAGTGAAAATTGGTAAGCCATGTTACTCGGAAAATTCTCTGCCAGAAATTTGCGGTGTTTTCTTCCTCACAAGTACGATGTGAAGTGGAAATTTCGACGTGGTAACAATGTTGGACTAATTTTGTTCCTTTTGTTTATTTTTAGGTGAAGAAATGCGATTTTAAGGAGGAAACTATCCACAGACAGTTTGCAGTTGAGCGGCCATGTGAAATGGCTGCTCAAACTAGTTGTCGTGTGCAATGCGTGAACTTAGGTCGCCCCAAATTCTTTTTAAAATTTATGTACACGCCTAGAACGTGTATGTATTGACGAAAGAAAGTTCTTTGGGGAAAGGGTTATCGAAGTGACGCACAGTGCCCAAGAGTAAGTTGGTTGAATATGAGCCTTTCTGTTTCGATTTCACTAGGCATATGAAGCCACCATTTACGTTGCTGCAAATAAAGCGGTGTAGCGTGGTGGTTTAACACGAATTGTGTCCTTCCTTCTTTCCTTCTCGCTCAAACTAAAACGGCTTCGATGGAGAAAATAAGCAGTCTGAGATAAAGACTGTCTCGAAATGGAAAATCGAAAGATCGTAAGGAAGGTTCCGCGAAACATATGATGATGCACACGCTCTATACGAAACTTGAATGGATGCGTGAACTATTAGCGTTAGATTGGTTGACTTTCGAATCTGATATATTATGTCTTACATTTGGTTAGAACATCTTTCGCGAACTCTCAGTTAAATTGAGAGGTATTTGAGAAGCAGTGAATTCGTTTCTGTGTGGCCACAACAAGATTAACAATCGTAAGAAGTCCGTTTTCGATATTGCGGAGTTTAGTCACAAAGTTGCGACTATGGAATGTTGGATTTTCAAAACAAGTTTTTTTTTTGTCCCTGAGTTATCAGATACGAAAATTTCTTGACTTACTATTTTCCCCTTTAAATATAACAAGTGCAGGTTGAGGAAAATTCAAAAGGACGCGAAGAGATGAAGGTTACCAAACGTGTGCATTAATATTCATGAACAATGAGTGATCTTAAGAACTCAGGAATTTTTAACTTATACCAAGTGACTACTTGAGTCTTAGAATTTTCAAGCAAGTTATGATAAAAGTGAACTGCCCATACAAATGTTTACTGGAGAAATCCTTAAGAATATTTGGCATGAAGTTTTTGCAGACTAGTGATCTTTGAAACAAGAAATGCCAAGTAATCCTAAGTTTGTACATCCACTGACTCCTTCAGATCTGGTGTTTATGGGTGATCAGTGGCTTGATAAGATGAGAAAAACTTCTGCTTTATGCATTTCCTGTCAGAGGTGTCTGATGCAACAAGGAAGTGACAATCAATGAGTTTTTTCCTCTTTTGTAATGTAGTACATATAAATTTTACCCAGTTTCTGAGAAGTAATTGTGATTGGCCACCTTTCTGGGATCAAACTATGATAAATGAATCAAGCTTTTGTTGAAGATGTTCTTACAAAGTGAATCAGATCAGCTGATGCTAGTGCTCAAGGAGTTTTCATGATGTTCACTAGATGTATACACACCTTGCATTTTTGTAGTTCACAGGATGCCAATGTAGAATTGATTCAATCTAAGGTTATAAAAATTTTTGATTGTGAGAAAGTTCGCACTTGAAGTTTCATAACCTAGCAGATTGCTCAAGCAATGTTTTGGGGCACAAATATAATTTTGCTCCACTTGTTATGAAAATTGGAAAACTAGACTGAAGAAGTAACTTAATATTTATATTCACCCCAAAAGCATTTGTTCAATACTAGCTTTCTTTGTCTTTTTACTCTTGCCAGAAGACACTATGGTACAATAACTATTGTTGTGGCTTTCTCTGTAAAAGGAGATTTGTGTAGAATTCTTGTAGATAATGAAAAGTATCCTCCAAAAAAACAATATTTGCAAACCAAGGTGTGCAACACCAAAATGTAATGAAGAAAAAAAAAAGATGAAACTCGAGGCACTGTCTCTAAACATTTTTTTTTATTATCTCTGGTGAAGTTATTAGCTAAGGCCAATTTCACTTATTCTTTACAACAATGGACTAGGGAAACACGACTTTGCAAAAGGTCAAATTAATGACATTTCTAATAGACAGCAATTTTGTGATATCTTTTGTAATTGTTCCGTTATTGTCTCTTGGTAGCAATGTTAGGCAAGATGTGTTTTGATTCCCTCGTTTATTGAGTAAAAGAAAGAAGGACAGAGTGTGGTGTAACCCTCATTATTTACAAAACTCCATGATGAAATCTGCTATATAAATTTAGAATGAGATAGAAATGTCCCATTGTGACTTGTAGAATCAGGTATATTGGCAGTTAAAACAACCCAGTGTAATCCAGTACCTGATTGTTATCTTTATACCAACATATTATTGTTGCATAGTTTTTTTATTTACTCTGCACACGATAACAGATACTTGTAAGCACTAGCAAAACATGACAGCACTTTGGATAATGGATGAATTCTAAATCCTAAATTCCCAAATTGAATGAAGAAATATCAATTAATTATTTTTAAACTCCAGTCAAGAAATATCATAAATTGTGTTTAATCATTGTAACTGATATTTGTTTCAATTGTTTTTCTTCAGGTGAAGGACTGTTGTGAAAGTTGAACCTGAAAAGAGAGAAGAGCTGGAAAAAAATATGGTAAAGATGCAGTAAAAGGAAAGAAATTAAACCGAGCAGTTGAACCAGGAAGTAAACCTCATCCTACAAGCGCACATCTACAACATCGTGCACTTTTTCAAATCAGTCTTTCTTTTCTCCATGTCAAGGAGAGAAGAGATTTCTTTGTTAAGGAGGAAATCAGATTCTTTGCTGGAATGAAAAACCCACTGAAATTTCCTCATTCCCATCCTGCCGCTTTGTTGCTCAGTTGGCAATAGTTTCAACTACTTTTTGGGTGGCACTGGTTCAAATCTCTAGAATTCTGAATTTTATCAAATTTCTTTCTGTAGTTGCTCTAATTGCAGTTCACTCGACAGAATCATTTCTTCACTAGAATTGTTCGTTACTTTCAGAGCACATCAGGTGGTGAGCCTCACACTCTGCTGAATGCTCTCAAACCAATGCTAGGTTGTTTAGGAGATATCAAGGCCCCTCAAGAGGTGGTGCGGATTATAAGGTATGATACAGGAAGGTTGATAAGTCTTGTACAATTGTGTGGTCCTTGTCAGTAAGAAACTTTTTGCAAAGGGTATAATGCTTACCATTCTCCCATTATCTTGATTGTTTTAACTTGTTTCCAGTTTAATGCGAGATGCAGAGAAGTTGATGAGTCGTTGTATTTACTTGAACATCCTGAAAGCTACTATTTCAGCTGCAAAGGAAAGTGAAACTGCAAGTGAATCACTAGAAAAGTATGACTGCTTTTTACTTCTACTAATATTAAGCAACCACTATTACTAGAGTGGGCTCTGTTATTGAGCCCAGCCTAATTAAAGAGTGGTTGTGGTAACTTTTGCTATTGATTTTCTCTTCATTATTCATTATTGATATTTGTCTAATTAAAATGCAACTCAGTCACTTCTTTTATGTCAAATATATTCCACAATGACCTTTGGATTTCCTGCAATTATGTTAGTGGAAAAATCCTAGTTAGTTTTATGCTACATGAAAAGCTCTTGATGAAAGCTGTGTTGGATTTTCTGGTCTGCTTCTCACTCCTTAATCCTTTACACCCTAACATAAATATGTCTATTCTCAATACTATTCTTAACACATTTCCTAAGATGCTGATGAGGAGAATTAGTTGTTTATTTTTAAACAATAAAGAGCTTCTTTAGTTGGTGATCATTTCCTTTATTCATGTGACCTTAATGTTTGATTCAGGGTTAATATAGTAAGGAGAAACTAGATCCTGGTCACTCTTAGGGGTCAAAGGGTTGAAAAGTGTGCTCTTGATTGATAATGTTTGAATTATAACAGATTATTTTTGACCAGTTATTAAATGCCCACTTGTTGAGAATAAATGCAAATTTGCTTCTTGGTCTCAACAGGTTTATGAGTGTAGGAGGCTGGAATATACTGAATAAGTGGTTAGTTGAGGCAAAGAAAACTGAGAATTTTCCTGTGCTATTGGAATTACTGGAGGTGAGAGACCTTGTTGCATGAGTGGATGCAACTTTGAGTAATGTGTTTAAGCATATACATTCATTTCAGTGTGATGTGTTTATATTTTAGGGTCTTGTACTGTGATATAGTGCTTAAATTGCAATGTACTGCTATCAGTATGTTGCCTCAAGTCAATCTGTGTGCTGTGTTGCAACATTATCTCTCACTTTTGATCTTACATCTTTTATTCAGGTCTTGAGAGATCTTCCTGTAAATATAGACACTTTGAAACAAGTACGTTGATATTTCTTGAATAAAATCTGATTAGTTTTCTATCATTGTTTTTCATTCCCTAGCTTTCATTTGCTGATCTGGAATGAACAAGAAAATGTTTCTGACCCACATACAGTCATTTATTGATGGTTTTTGTGTGTGAAATATTTATCATAATTGCCGTTTGCAGCACGAAGCAGGATGTTCAATTTTGCTATTTTTCTCAAATAATACTCTAAGCCTTTCTTTACTTCTTGTGTATGATCCCTGAAATCTTCTTACTACCCTTCAGCCTAAATACAGTCTCTATTGAATCACACTCACCTATTAAATTCCTCAAAACTTTGCGCACATTGTGATAATGATCATGGTTAATTTGATAGAAAACCCCAATTATATGTCATGAATGTTTTGTAGGGCAATACTGGCAAGATTATCAAGCATCTCACAAAGTTAGAAAATCAAGGTAAATATCATTTTGAAATTCACTTCAATTAGAGAAATGAGAATAATTTGGAGTAACATGGGTTTGGTACCACTGATGAACTCCAATGAGAAGCAATGGTATTTAATTTGCTTTAGACTAGTGAAGTCAGTATGCTCTAGATCTGGCTTAGTAAGTTTCTCTAGGATGTCCTCTAATATAGACTGATTGATTTATATCCTTTTTTTGTTTCAGATGTCAAGAAGCTTGCCTCAGGAATTGTCAAACAATGGATGAGTCTTGTGAGAAATCAGACAGGAACATCAGGTACAAGATTACTCTGCAGTGTCACTTTTGAAGTCATATACATGTACTTGTAAATGTATTACAATATCAAGGCTTGATCAAAAGTCTCAAATCACTCTCTGGCTGTGCATGTTTATCCTAAATTTGTTTGTCCCTTTCAGAAAAAGGTGACAAGCCTAAGCTGAATGGTTCTGCTAATGGTGAGGATACTTTGCAAGGCTCCAAGCAGGGTGAGTGTATGCACATGTATATTAATTGAACAGAATCTATTAGGACAACACTGAGAAAATGGTTAAGAGACTTACCGTATCAATGAATGTTTTGCAATTACCAACTAGATTGCAGATATATCCTAACGTATTTTAAGTAAGACATTTTAAAGCATTGTATGAAAGAATACATGTAGGTAGTTAAAAGTGAGGTTGTTTGCTACCTTAACAAGGTTTGATTATTTGGTTTTAGCTGTCTCTTCGACTGAAGGGAAGCCTGCCAAGAGGATGAGGTGAGATTGTTTTCCAGATCAGAATGAATACATTCAGTTTCCTCATTTGGTGCTTTGCACTGTCATAATTTGTTATAACTTTTCAATCACATGTCCAGGCTGATAAATATTCCGGGTAGAAAATTAAGGCCAGCCTAAAAGGTACTTATTATAAATAATAAAATGCAAGACAACTTGAGTTATCAAATTTTATTGATTATGTTATAGAGACAACAACTCAACAGACTCAAACAGGTCACCTCAAGTTGAGAAGAAGGCTAAAACACTGAATGAAGTTAAAAGTGATGTCAAACAGAGCATGGCACAAAAGAATGTTTCTAAAACAAAAGTTATCCCACCTCAGCCTAAACGTAAGTTCCTGTCTGCTTTATTTCCAGTTTTCAAAGTACATGGAAGAGTTCAAAGTTCACAATTCACTGTCTATGATCAAAATGAAAGATTATTGCTGATTTTCATAACCCTTTGACCCCTGAGAGAGACTAGCATCTAGTGACTGCACCCCTGAATCACACATTTAAGTCACAAGAATAAAGGAATGATCACCAACTAAAGAAGCTCCTGATTGTTAAACAAATTCTCCTCATCAGCACCTTAGAAAATATATAGAGGACAGTAAGGAGAATATACATACTACTGTTAGGGTGTAAAAGGTTAAAGGATGTACAGAAGATGGCTAAATTGCATGAAGGGTCAGAAATCATTTAGGAAGTAGTTTTTGTAGACTTTTTCAAGTGATGGAGTTGAAAATCAATAGTTACAATATTTGGCAAGCAGTGGTGTCTCGTAAAGTGTCAAAGATCCTTTAGATACACATATATCAAATTAAATCAACTTATACATGTTTTCCTGAAGTACTCACACTAACCTTTATTGGTAGCTCCATTTATTTATTAGTTGGAGGGGGGATGAAAAACAATTATGAAAAAAATTGTCTGAGAATACAGGAATCTCCCCCTTCATAAAATGATGGTCAGTCCCTTACTCTTTGTGCTAAGGGATTGTCAGTATTATAAACTAGAAACCTATCCTTTTAGTACTTGTGGTCATTTGCTCTCTATTTTTGTTTTCACTAGCTGTTGCTATGGAGAGTGCAGGATTCATGAATGCCTTAACAATTGCAGCATCAGCTGCCCCTGTGCGAAAAAGAAAACGTGTGTCCACAGCTTCAAAGGTACTTACATGTACATCATCAATGTGGTATTTCCCATTCATTGAGTCAAGTCATTCTGAAACTGTCTTACTATTCTGAATGATATATAAAGGCCTCTTTGTTTGTTTTAGGGTGTGTGAGTTCTGTTGCCCCTTTTAGTGCCAGAAGCACTGACACTATTTTCCCCTTTACCTGCAACATTGGTTACCCAAAACTGTAGTGCAGTTTGCAAGTAGTCTCTACAGCAGCTGGGAAACTGATGGGCTTTTTTCACATGACTGGATTAGCTATTTCAAAACCAGATCTCTGGCCTTACTCTCTAGCTTTGAGGATTTTTAGGGGGATACTTTTAAGAGAGATGCTTTTAATATCTTTATAGACTGGAACTACTAACACCACAACTTCAACCTCTTCAGCCACGACCACCAAGGTAAGCAGTCTAAGTTGCAATACAGTATACGCAGATTTGCAACTTGTTAGTCTTCTCCAGTCTCATTTTTGTATGAAGAAATATAGGTCAATGTAGAGGCTACTTTTAACAAACCTGTCTTTCCTAAAATTTTGTACAAAATTTCTCTTGAGCTTCATGCATGTGTGTTTGTTCAGCCAACATATACAGGAATTCTTGATGCTATTTTGGACAGTCAGTCACAAACACATGGTCAAGAGGATGGAAGGGAGAAGGAAAAAGAGAACAAAGATAAAGAAGTGGATAGTTCAGGGTAACTAACTCAGGATTTAATCACCAATGATTTAAACTTATCATCATATGTACTGAGGCTAACATTGAACTATATGTAAGACAGTAACCCTCAAGACAGCTCATGTTACTGCTTCATACCAAACAAAACACAGATTCACTATCATAGTGTTCTTAACAAAAAGTTGCAAATATTTTGTAGATGATGCCGAAAATTAGATAAGTTTTTTTATTTATTTATTATCTTCTTGGTAGTGTTGTAGGTATATAATACAAGTTATTTTGTCTATTAGCATTTTGATTTCAATAATAACAATCATCTTGTCTGCTGATTTTAGCAATAACAAGTCTGGTTCATCTCCTAATGGCTCACCTGATGACACATCTGCACCAAGTAAGGACACCAAATGGCATCTATGTCAGAGCAGTATTTATATCTTTTACTCAGACAAATCAGCCCTCTTTTTTATTCAACTTCTTCCTTGTACCTTTTTTTAAAATTGGATTAAATATATTTTTCTCATGAGGAAAGCATTATATGACCCACAATTATACACGTCAGTTAGTGCCAAACCTGAAAGCCACAGTCCATCAGAGAGAATTTTTCCTCAGATTTTTTTTTTTAATAATATGGTCATCAAGGAGCAACACAAGAGAGATTCCTTTTTGACTGAAATATAATAATTACTGGAATTTTTTATCACTCAGGTGGAGATATTGGAGATTTTAGCAAAATTTCAGAGGTGAGCAGCTACATTGAAACTTCTTATTGCAACTAAACTCAGTTTTTCTCAACTGTCGAAATTTAAACTTATCTTTTTAACACTGGTTCTCTTTGACAGCCTTCTGAAAAAGATAATTCTCCAAATGCAGGTAAGCATTACTCCTGTTCTGGAAATGTACATGTGCAACATGAACAAATTTAATAAAGAAAATTTCCTAAAGTTTGGGAACAAAGCACCTGAAATCACTAAAATACAAGGGACAAAGTAGCACTGTGTTGAAATTCTCCCAAAATGATAAAACATTAGAGTTTATGTTCTTGACCCAACTCAGAGTCATTTTAGCCTGAGCCACTTGGGGAGGGTTCAAGTGATACTAAGAAGTACCCAAAACATATTCATACCCAAGAAATAGTCTGTGTTACTATCATGACTATGACTTTGGAGGGCATCAAGAAAATAAAAAGTGATAATAAAACAGTCTGAACAATCACATGAGCATAAGAGTGGGCTAAAATACATTTCAGGCTGCCAAAATCTCTATTTTAGCCTGCAAAATGTGCCAAAATGCTTGACCAAGTGTTAATAAATAGGAAATTGGAAATTTTAGCAACTCCTTTGAACTCCACCAAAAAAAGTAGTATCTATCAGCCAAAATTAACAAAATACATGTAAGCAATAAATAAGGGGAGGTCATTACCAACACCAATCACATTTTTAGGCTCGCTAAATTCACATTGTGATTGATGCTTGTTTGTTATTTCTTCAGCATCACAGGCGTCAACAGATACAGTAACATCAGCAGCTGATGATTTAGAAGAGAAACCAGCAAAGAAGTCCAAGAAGGGTAAAAGAGTTACATGGCCTGATGATGATGCCAACCTTGCTATCTTCCATTACTTTGAGATGGATGAAGACGAAAGAGGTCAGTTTGTTCCACTTTTTTTGGAAAATTTGGTTTACATATTTCCACAGCCTGTGCATTATCTATTGTTGAATGATGAATTTTTAAGATATCACTACTGGGCAACTGTAATTTCAATCACTAACACAAGATGAGTTTCACTTTGTATCCCAGATTGGAAAATGAAACTTGAGTTGTTGTCTATTAAGTGTTTTTAAAAAATATAATGATCATACAGAAAAGGTGTTTATATGTGTAACTATGAAATAATGTTGTGTCTATTCTGCATGAAATACTGCATAAACACTTTTGGCTTATCAGCATTCTTATTTTCTTTAGCTCTGGTTAGACATCCTGTGAACTTCCTTGATGCAGCACATAATGAAATGGTCAGGGAGAGACAGGTAGGTGTATTTACCAAGTTTTATAGACAAAAATTGTGAAATAATTGGTCACATTTTGCATTTTTTCAGTTAAGAAAATAGGTAGTTGTCAGCACTCTAAGCTGCAAATATTTTGGTCACCAAGTGGTGGTGACATAATTTTAGCTAATGAAATTAGCTTTTACCAATTTGGCAACCTGAGTTCAGCCCACCATTTCCAGCAGGTAATTACATACCTTTCTTATTGAGGTATCTGTGTAGTCTGAAAAATGCATGATTTTCTGTTTCAGCTTGTGGAACAAGCCAAACGTTTGAGTGAAGACATAATGGCAGAGAGAATCAAGGTATAGATGATGCTTAATCATTGTTTGACAAGGGGGAATTTTAAGTTTCAAGTAGGTGGTCTAAGGGAGAGTAGTCTAGTGGGAAAAACACTTTCCTTGTTTTCAATGACTGACTGTTACAACTACCAACCTGAGCTGAAGTGGTCATCATAGTCATGTGACTCTGTGACCACCTTTACTGAGGTAGCTAAAACATCAGAAACTATTGCCATCAAGACCCTTCTCAGAATTTCTCTTATCTAAACAATCAAATCATCCAACTTCAGTTCTGCTACACCTTAATATCAATCCTTTCCTTTATTGTGTAACTGAATTTTTAAACTTACATCATATTTCATAATTTGCCAAAAAGTAATCTTGCAATTGCCACAAGAACTGCATTTATTTCAGTAAACTTGTGATCTACATTTAAGCACATCAGCTAATTAGGTCCTAAATCAACAATAATCTGTTTGCATGTTGTAGTGGTACAGACCCAGAGCCTTAACACTAGAACACCAAATGGAAAAAGGTTCAAAGAGTACACAGAGGCAAATACAGGTATAGTACACTATGTGTCCAACACACTCCTATATAGGAGTGTTCATCTGTTACTTGCTTTACTCTGTGCCGAGCAGCAACTGATACATTTTACCATGAGCATACTTGTAAAGATATACATAATATGACCTTCTACAGTGAAAGTCAGTGGGGGGCATCTTGAGAGATTTTGTGCATACATGAGATTCAAACTTTTAACACATTCAATAACATTTACTGTGTAGAAATTATTGAAAAGCACAGGTGGGACTCAAAAAGACACATGAAGAATTTATCTTCCATTTTTTCCCTAAGTGTTATGTGGAATACCAGTAATAATTACTAGACACTAAATAGATCATTTTAAACCATACACAGGTCCACTTTTTATGACTGCCAATGTTGCAACATTCTTCAATTTATTTTGCTCTATTTACTCTGTAAACCCTTGTTTATTATAGATAACAGTTCATAATTATGTGATTCTTTGGCTCACAGAAAACCAGAGAAGCTAGTATACTTGCAGATATATTTTTAACCAAGTCAAGGTAAAGTCTTGGTACATGGCCAGTTTTTTTGTGCTTGCCAATGTTTTAGAAGCTCTCTTTTCCCTTTTGGAGCATGATAAGAATATCACTGATGCACTCAACTGCACCTGGCGCACCACTATTTTGTTCTTACCAAATTTTGATGTCATCTGAACAGATACAACTGGAATGGATTTGTTAACTAAACTTGATTCACATATTCCTGTGTTAGAATTATGGTAGTTTGATGTCCAGAAGTGCTCTGTGTTTTCTCTAATCTTTCCAGAACGAGTACTGTCATTGGTAGACTAAGTTTTACAATTTGGAATAATTGTAAAGCAAGTGTTGTCAGATGCTATTTCCTAACCCCATGTGTTGTAATTTAAGTGGTTTGCTATTTTGATGTTTGATCAAAATGGGTTATGTTCTTATTACATTTCAGTTTGCCTGACAGCCCAGCAGAACCTGAACCTGATAACCAAAAAGGAAGTCCGGAAGAACCCAGAGTTATACCACATGATGAGGTACATGTATTGATATATAGCAGCTCGTACAAGAGATAGATGGCAAATACTCAGCATAACTAACTCTCCTACTGGCTGACCAAGATGTGGATCTATGGAATGTTTTGTTGATTAACTGAATGACTGTCTGACTGTTATTTTGTATATATATATTTCCTGCAGAAAGGAACCACTCATGTACCTGCCAAGGCTCCAGTTGTATCTTCTAACAACAGCAGTGTACAGCTTCCACCAGCACTTATGTCACTGTTGTCATCAGCATCCTCAACTACAGGTTTCCTGTTACTATTAAGAAATTTCTTTCTTTTCCTTAGCTGGTAAATGGTCCTTGTTTTGTGTTCGACCAAAGTGAGTTTGTATTTTTTTAAGACGTCAGCAATCTCTGTTTTTGATTTCAGCTGGGTCGGTATCTCATGGAAGTGGTGACAGAGGACCTTATACAGTTCAAGCCCTCCTTGATAAAATCATGGCAAGTAACTAGACTGTCATTACGCGTATTCCAATGTTCAAGTTTTACAATATGTTATATAATTCTTATAGTATTATTGAACAGTGATAACGAGTTAATTTTCGTGAGGAAAAACTTCCCCCCTTTCTCTGGTGGTGAGTTCTGCTCATTTTATTGAAGCATTATTAATTGTCACCAGTAAGAGACCTTTTCGCAAAAACTTTTCTTCTGGGTTTGAAGGAATTGTGAAAAAAATAAATTTGCAATTTAGCTTAGGATGAAAAATGACAAGATGTTTGAAGAACTAGTTTGTTTTTTTATAGTTAAATCCAAGAGACTTAAATTATATTAGGAAATAATTAATACGTAACTGCAATGTGAATGTTCTTGAGAGGGCCGTTAGTCATTCAGAAGCTGCCTTGAACTTTCAGTCATAACCTCAAGTTCCTTATCTTGTACTGTTCTTGAAACTTCTTTCTTTTTTCAAGGAACTCAGTAGTACATGCTGGGTTTCCAATTATTTTTTGATATTTGAAAACGTAAATAAGTTCTGAACTTGTTCACAAACTCTTCGAATATCTGTTTGTTTTAGAATCCCTCCACGCAAGGTAACCCACCCGACATGGCACCTGGTTCTCAGTCTCTTCCTCAAAATGAGCCAGGGAGTTCCTCCTTACCCCCAGCCCTCCAACATATCCTGGAACCTCTTCAGCAGAACAAAATGGGTCCTCCACGGATGCAGGGACCTGGACCAGGATCCATGCCTGGCATGGGTGCGGGAGCAGGATTGCTGGGTGCAGGTAAAGTCAATTATTTTGTCAGCAGCAGCTTTTGTATAGTGGACAACAGGTTCGACTTGTGATGTGGGTCACAGGCTCTATAGGTTGCTAGAAGACTTTGGTTGAATTCAAAAAGGCAATCCCTTCTTTCTTAACGAAAACATTAGTGTAAAACTTGTCAAAGGAAATGTTCTTCTTGATTGTGTTCTGCAAAATGCGTGTTCAGTTCACATCAGCCAATCTTATTCGTTTTTCTAAGTGAATAAACCATGCAACCACCCTCAGGCCAAAAGTACTTGGTGGTTTTTTTTTCTTAGATATCAATTATCTTCAAGAATAACCCATGAAATTCTGCGTGTACTTTCTTCTTAAGTATGGAATTAGCTGGCGGTTTTAAGAGCCGTCGATGATAAGAGTGCAGGCTGCGAAGCTACAGATTCGTTCATAATCTCTATTCTCAAGAGCCTTAAACAACTTAAAAGTATTTTGATAACAGGCCATTTCTGAGTTCATGAACCCTCACTTTCAGAACGTGGTTAAGCAGAGATTGAAGATTTATTTTGATGTGAAAGGCCTTATACTGAACCCTGGTACTAAAACAGGGACTTTGTACATCTTTAAGATCGTGTATGTAAAAGTGAAGGAAATATTTTTAAGGATACCCACTTCTCTATAAGACTGTTTAACAGAGAGGCTCCCCAAGCAAAGGGAGATCATTTGAGAAATGTCCTTCGTCAGTAAATGTAAAACTTCAATTATTTTTAAACATTACCAGCTTTTCGAAATGTTAGATGTCATGTGACGATCTCTTGATCTGTTCTCGCCACAGCACCAGGTGATCCAATGGGGAGTCTTAATGTCTTCAGACCATCCGGTCCTATGGGTCCTAGAGGTGTACAAGGCCCACATTTAAGACCTGATATGCCCCCGCATTTTCAAGGCCCTGGAGGCCCTAGACAAGGTCCACCAATTGGGCCCCTGTTTCCAGGTCCAGAGGGCCCCATGATGGGTCCTCGCATGAGGGGACACATGCCAATTCGAATGCAGGGCGGACCAGGTATTGGTAGAGCCATGCCAACAGGTCCTCGGCCTCTTTTACCAGAGATGGTAAGCCTCAAGCTTTGTGTACGTGGATTCTGTCCCTCATTAGATCATGTTAAGTTTCTGATTATAGTAACTGGTGTACCACTGTAAAGAAGTCAGCACTCAATCACTCAACAACTTCTCCAAATGTGTTTAGGTGGTTGATTTACAATTGTATCTTCAGGTGAATAACGATCTAATGTAGAAATTACACTTGCGTCGTGACGCACCACAACTGAAGTAAGTTAATGACCCACAATCCTTCTAACTGATCTTAACACTAAATGCTCAACCAATAAATTGACAATCAGCAGGAAGTTTGTCTGTTCGGGAATATTTCGGTGTTATTTGCCCGATGTTCTGTCGGGCTGGAAGATCAATCATTACGCGAATTACAGTCCTCTGACGTCAAAAATGCTTTTTCGTTTATATACTTTGTGTATCGTACGAAAGAAGGCAATGAACAGGAAGAAAAGATAGCTAATTGATCACACTTCGTCCTATCCCAGGCCCAACGAGACGACTTCCACTCGGACCAGTTCGACGATGGAGGGGAGTATGGTGACGAAGACGAAGAAGGCGAACTTGGAGACATGAGCATGCGTGGTAGGGGTCGAGGAATGCCGCGCGGTCGTGCACGTGGAAGGGGAAGGGGCAGAGGAACGCCTCCTGTCTGTCGACATTTTGTGTCAAAACGAGGCTGTCTTAGAGGAAACACGTGTCACTTTTTACATCCCGGAGTAAATGGACCTCCAGTTTGACAGTGAATAATAGAGCGTTTGAAGACGGTGGTGCTAAATTCCTGAGGTCATACTTTTCTTGTTGACAATTACGACAGGAAGCAGGGAATTGGAGTAGAACTTTTTTACTTGGGCATGACATGGAATGTACTGATACGTCTTCAAGTTACTTTATTTTTGATAAGAAACAATAATGTCTGAAGTTCACCAATGGTATTTAATAAGGAATAACATACGGGTAATGCTCTAAGTTTTCATTTACAGTCGGCATCGAGACGTATGTTCTCGAGGTGGCCTAAGCACAGCAGAGGAAGGATTTATAGCTATTGAAGAATGACACTGAACACGCAGTGAAGGAAACTCTCTCTAGTACCAAATCAGGGAAACTAGTCTAGCAAGGAGGAAAAATTACCAAATTTCTTGTGACTTTCTTTTAAACCTCAAAGCCCTCTTAGTGTTAAATGAAATGGGGTCAAGCAAATGCGACCAATCTTTTTAGTCTGATGGAATAAGGTAGTGATGAAGGTGAAGTGTTTATTAATGTTTCACGATACTTGCGCGATTTGTTTCCTTGATTTGGTATGAGTATCCAAATTCTCCTGGCCGCCAATACAAGCAGTGTTGCAACTGCTACAGAAAATACATACCCCAGTCATAAAGGTTTAGGGAGTCGTGCACAATTCGAGACTTGTACTTTGCTCAGTTATTGACTCAACTCTTCTCTCTTATCCATTCATCTCCGTCGAAACTACGGAAACTACGTATTTTATCACGAGCGTTCGTTATTGAAATTATCTTTGTACATATTGTATAGAGTGTGGAAACAGCGCATGTAGAATACTAGGTAGAAATAGTTTTTAAGCGATATCTACTTGAAAATATTTTGCAACACAGCTAGAGAATAAATGTTTCGTATTTTAGTCAGTCCGAGTTTCAGCAGAAACTAGAAGATTCAAATACAAATTTTTGGAGTAATCTCAACGTGATGCAGATCCCAGGGAAGCAGACTTTTTTGTTCTTGGTTAAGGTATGAATAACCCCAACGCATTTAGTGTGACATTTCATTTCTGTGCTAGCTAGTAATATTTTGATTGGTCCAGCTGCAACAAAAGTAGTTTTCTCATGGTTGTCTTTACCTTGTTTTCGCCGTTGTCCTTATAATTTACCGCTATTGCCTCGATCTGAGTAATGTAGTCGATTGTAGAAACTAATTTTATTGACAACTCGAAAGACACTGGTAATCTACTAGTGAGTCAGCTGCACATCCCAGTTCACGTCTGAGTTGATCAACGAGGATGTCACCTTTTAAAATCGCCTCGCCTTCTAAAACAGTTCACATTTTTTCAGAATGGACTTACGAGAGTTTCTGCCTACTTAACCTTTATCAATCCATTTTCTATATAAAAATTTTGCAAGAAGACATAAGTATCTTGTGATAAAAGACGAAACAGTTTTGTGACTCCAGTTATGGGAGTAAGACTGAGTCATGTTCGTAAAACTGGCTCGAATTGTACAACACAATTGCAGATAAATTATCTGGAACCTCTTCAAGTCTGGGGTTCGTTTCTGACGCACAACGTTTAAATTAGTCACTGCTTTATAGTGGGAAAAAATAAGAAATCTGTCAAGAGCCGTCATGGTACAAAGCAGTACCAGGTGAATTGCGCAGTCTTTAAAATTCATCGTGAATACAATTGACCAATGTGATTCACGTTCAAACAATTATAACTACGTACGTTGATAATTATAGATATGAATTAAGTAGGTGGGGGTTCCAAATATATTTCCTTGGCACTGTTCATCGTATTGATGTGAATTACTTTCACTTGTAATCAGTTTTCTTTGTTGATTGCCTCACAAAAACCATTTAATTATGTACTAAGAGACAGTTGATTACTAATAGTGTTGTGTCGGTGGTACAGCTATGCTGGAAGTGAGCAACTTTGTTGGTTACACAACAATATAACAAAGAAATGTTATTGCTAATTTATACTTTTATGGGTTGGAGAGGAATAATGGTGCAATTTTTTCTGTTTATTTCACATTATTTCCATGAAAATGCAAAAACCATCACCACCATGTGTCGTCAAACATCATTCCTCTTCAGCCTTTTGAGATTTAATTGTGTTAGTGTTAAAATTATCATTTGATGTACACTTCCTCCATTAAAGGCAATTTCAACAAGTGAATTTCCTTTGTGCAATTTTATTTGTCTCGTCTTGCGTCGCCAGACTTTCGCATCCACCCCAATCTTACAGAAGGTTTAGTACAGTGTCCTTCTTTTTCAAAAATATGATAACATAGTGTTATGAAGTATTTTATTAGTTTATAATTCATTAGTCAGTTCAGTATGATTAAGTGTTTCGTTTATATTTAGAATGTAGTTACTATTCGAATTCGAATTCCGAAGTTATTTTGGTTAAAGCTGCCGTGGTGAGTTTCCGAATTGTGACAGTCTTGACTAAATTCCATAAATGGACGTGCTTAGTTGGTCTTGTTTTGGCTAACGTAGTCGAAGTTTGATACAGTTGATCAGATGCATTATGTTCAAGTCTCGTGAGGTTGTTTGGCTCAGAGTTCTACTTGAGCAACTGCTTATAATCCAAGGTCAGCCAGCTGGCATGCCCACCTATATCTGTCAGTAGTGTATGTAAAGGCATTTTCTTCAGAGCTTATTTAGCACAGAGAAGAGAATAGAATAGACTAGTAGAATGTAGACAGAGTGGAGAAGAGTACAGTCAGAATCCTGTAGTTGAAGTGAGTGTTTGGCGGCACAAATCAACGAGAAGTATTCAGTGAGAATCAAAGTGTGAGAGCCTTAATCAAAGTGTGAGATTAACCAGGTTTTCACAGAATGAAGTAAACTTGGATGTAAGTAGAATTGTGTTCTGGAGAACCGATAAGTTAAAGAAAACAATAGATAGCACTCCAACGCTCGCTATTTTTAATTACATGGCGAGGGCGAAGTAGATTTTTAATGCCTCTAGATGAAGTCGGCGGGAATGTCGAAAAAGTACTCAGTAGGTAGAAAGAATATACCAGTTGTTCAAAGCTTCTGTTATAAATGGTCTGATTACCCAAGTTTAATTCAGGATGCAGTAGATGTGGATTTTCAACTTTTTTTCGTTTTGGAAGAGAAATCGCTGCATCGCCGCAGTTTCAAGAGACGAACGTCGCACATGAAATATCCTTATGGCCGGAAAGTTATTTAACAAACATTTCAAGTACGTAACATGTGCAATTTCCAACGAGCACGCCTTTGAATATTCAGTATGATTGATGAACGAAAGTACAAAGAACTTTTACTTAATAAAATGATTCAAAGCGTCAATATTCCTTTCCTGAACGTGATTGATTTTTTAAAAAACAGAAAAAATAATTTTGTTGTGATAGAATGTAAGGTGACCAGGTAATCTATTTTAATACATTATTCGTGGCCGTAGGCAGGGTTTTCTTACGTTGGTTTCCTTTTGACATTTAGTTGTAATACAGATTTAGTTAAAACCACGGGATGTCAATTTTCTTGTCAACTGAGGTAAGGGGGGTGGGGTGGGGCAGGATTTACTCAGTGAACCCACTTTCTTAACTTCCTCCTCGAACCTGTCATCTTTCCCGTGAGTGACAGACAGTAAAGGGGGAACTGGACGTGATTTACTCCACCTCATCTAAACTACCTGACGGCAGCAGAAGTAACACAGGGCACCCAAACAATTAGAGACTTCGAGAGGGTAAACAAGAGCGTGGCAAAACCGAAGGTTTAAAGACGAAAACAATAACACTACACTTGCGTTTAAAACTTTGTGCAGTTCTTAGCCGTCCTGTGTAGAACAGTGACCATGGAAAGCACAAGATTTCGTGTGCTCTAGGAATGACAACATCGACGGCTACTCAGGGGTCTCTTTTCTACTTTGGAATTAACTCTTCATGTTATGCTAAAGGCGAGATCTTGTACCACCAGAAACGATTGATATACATCGACCAACTAGTGAAAGTTTAAGAAAAACGAAAGGTCATTTAGGTGGCCCTCCAAATCTTATACTCTCTAATGACTTCCAATCAGAGAGTGCATCTTGGCTTATGTAGAAAACTGTTACCTTTTCAGAGCGACTTCGTGGATGAAAAAGTTCGTCTCTTCCTCTGTAACTGCAGTAAAGTGCTCAAATCAACTTTGGAGGATGACTTTTTTATCCCATTAGATGCAAGATTTGAAAACTGACGAATATCTCGAATGTAATATTCAACAATTATTCCTTGAGCGCGCATTGGATATGAGATGGCAAATAGCAAACGAGGAAAACCTTCTTTAGATCTGTTTTATTTTCTTCATCTTAATGTTCTGTACACGTTACTGAGCACAAGAAATTAAGGCTCACTTTTTGCCTTTTTGGATATTATTTACATCGTACTATATCTCTTTATCATACAACAACAAGTCAATACTGTTTAAATTATGAGAATGAAAGACATCCTGAATACAACACCAACTCTCTTTAATTTAACACAAACTCGCGTCTCGCATAAGACTTGGGATATCCTTCGCTTTCCCCTCCTCGCCACACCACCCCGCTCCTAGTAATAAGAAGCCTTTGAGGAAGTGATGTTAATAAATAAGCCGATTAATACTTTAGTGATTCTAGGCTTCCTATGATAAACCTTTAACTCCCAAGATTGATAAAGAATCGAATCCTCCTCATTATTATAGAGCAGTGTTTACCATACAAGTGAGGAGAAATGTCATACTAATAAGCCTAGAGGTAATTCCATGGCAGGAACTTAAAATCTAAGGTATTTCTAAGGTAATGTACTACAGATTTAAGTCGAAATTCATTTTCAATCTTGAGAGCTAAGTTTTTATAAGTTTTACACTCTTAGTAACCTTTCTTAGATAAAGACAAAAGATTTCCTAACTACTCTTAATACCACTTTACTACTCGTGAAAAACTAATCAGCGCTTTCACCCTTTTATTCTCAAAAGAGAGCAAAATCAGACTCTTCTTTATAAATTTTATCCTTTGTCGAAAAGTAAGTAGACCAGTAAGTAGAAACCACCAATATTTATCCGGTTAATTATTTAAATCTCAACTGCTTTTTCAGGAAATACATGGCATTATCTAACTGAGAATTGGCGAGTTTAAGGATGGAAGATTTAAGTATTATTCAAACTGACGCAAAAGTCTGCAACTGCTATAAATATGCGTTGAACCAATGTGAAGCAGCATCGTCTGAATCTGTAACAAAACAATTTCGGATATTAGGCTAGTGTTCTTGAGCAGACCTCTGTTTCATATGGGCAAAGAAAATGAGAAATTTTGAATCAGTAGAGCGCAAACGAGGCTAATTCTGAAAGGATATTTAGACTATGTGGAAAAAAAGCTACATCAGAGTATGAATAATTTTAATCTTTCTTAAATAATAGTTATGATCCCGTAACATGTCTCAACGCAGTTTGTTATTTTTCAGAAAGGATTGAGAGACTGTCTTCGTAAGAAAAGAAACAGTAATTTTCATCTTGACAATATTAATGCAACGTGCAAGACCTGAATTTCAGTAACCCTAGTCAAGTTTCTTCTTCCGTCAGTTACTCGGCCAAAAATTAGCGATGAACAGTATGTTTGTTTGCAAATAAGTTATCAAGAAGGTTTCAGTATTTTGTAAAACAAAAAGGCTTTCAAACACAATTACATTTAATAGGCAAATATTTTATTTTTTTAAATTTTCCTCAAGTATAACGCGACATCTGCACGTAAAAGGTGATTTTTGCGGGTAGGAAAGTGTTAGCAGTCTCCACAAATCACAAGCAAAGAACTGTTCATACTTAGGCCATGATTTTCGGTTAAAAAAAGATTTATGACTTGTTCGTTTAATATTTCATAGTTACGGAAAGTATTCAGAAGTAATTATAATACTATGACTTACTCCTTTGAATTTTTTTTTAAAAGAGACCTATTTAATTCTTCAGATAAGCAAGAGGTTGCAAGAGAGTGAGTGGTAACCAGCGATATAAGGTGTGACGACTTTTAAGCCTACAGCTTATGTTTTTATCTTACTGAAAAATAACTCGTGAACTTTCCTTAAATTTTTTTGCAAAATAGAAATAACTATTTGTTCGTTTTCTTGATCATGACTCGACATGTACAATTACGGGTGTAAAATGAAAATTTTTCAGTGGAAAAAAGTTAAGAAAAAATGTAATTTTTTATCAGAAAAGCAAGCCTATTTGTTCGAAATTGTATTCAAGAAGTGTCACGATATTTAGCAACAACGATAAATAAATACAAATAAACCTCAGCCCTAACGAATAGTACATTCTAAACTACCAGCAATATTGAAAGTGTTCTATGTAGTTACTAACAAGGAGGCATTGCCAATAATGCGATACAATATGCTTCAAAATTGTAATAAATTAGAATGAATTAATCATGTCATGCATAAGTTCTAAGTGATTCTGACCATTGTGATTTGTAGTGGTGGGATATCCACCCATATCCCCGGGGTTAAACTGTTGCGGCCGCATCATACATTCATCGATAGCTTGCATTCCATGATCCATAGGAATCTCCCCGGAGTCCATATGGTTAAGCGGTCCTTGGTAAGGAGGTTGGAACTGCGGTGGTGCCATCATTGGTCCCATATGATTTTGCAAATGTTGATATTGAGGCGGAAGCATTCCATAGGGAGGGGGTTGAGATCCCTGGAGTTGTGGGGGAGGGGAGAGTGATGGAGGAAGATCTAAACTGTCTCTATCGGCTCGCCTTTTATCTCTTGGACTTGACGCTAAACAACAGACAAGAGAATATTGAGTTAGTAGGTGCCAAATTTTTTGGGAGCCTTCCAAGAGTGGAGCGTGAAAATCTTCAATAGTAAGTCAATGGCAGACGTGAAATACTTTGATGACTATGTTGATCTCTAACACAGTTTTTGTAAGATTAGAGCAGCTGTAGGTTAACCTCATGTTGGGGAAGGTATGGTATTTTGAGACGTCGAGGTCAAATTGTATTACAAGTTGAAAGCTGTTTTCAGTTTTGAGTAAACCAACAGTTTATAAACAGTTTAGAATATTTTGAGAAACTCAATGGCACCAATGAAACTCTTTAAATAACAGGAACAGTTTCCAAGTGAGGAGAAAGAGAAAAAAACTTTCAAAATATCCTGAAATTCCTTTCAAACACCGATCAAAATCAATGTATTTTGATTATCTTCATTTGAAAGAGATCTAATAAAACATATATCAGTTTGAATTTTGATCGTGGGTCTGAAGACACTTACATTTCCCGTCTTTACTTTTTTTAAGACTCCTTTGTCTATTACTGACTCTACAACTTGCTGCGCCATCAGACTCCGGATTGTTCCTTCTCGCAAGTTTCTTAATCTGTTTGTAAGAAAAAGAAATAATAAATCCCTCTTCCCAGGATATGGTGACGAAACAAATTACCTATAGGAGAATTTTGAGAAACGAACACAGATCTAAAGAAATTGTTATCATCTGGATAGGAAATAAACGCTTCTGTCACCCGCCAAATAACTAACTGACAAGTTGATACACAGAAAGAGTGGATGCTAAGGACACTAGACCCTCATTTCATATTTTCCAGCTAACAAACATACGGAGCTATTTAGTTTTTTCTACTGCCCTCGGACGTTTGTTTCATATCGCAAAGGGTATCGAGAGAAGAAGGCTTTCCTGAGAGAGTGTCATAAATCGCCTCAGCCTCAGGGAGCTGTGGAAGATATATCTTTGTATAATTTCAATATGGATGGGTAACTGATGAATGGTCAAACGTGGAGAAACGAGGATAGGAGAGCACGAAGGTCCCGAACTATGGAAAAAATCACTTGCCGAGCTCAGCCAAATGGTTTTCGAAAATCCCTTTACGCAACTCGCTCCAGACTTCTTACGCCGAACGGTTTCAAGATGGCCGACAGAGGAAACAAGGGATGGAAAGCGCATGGTTAGTTAATCACCGTGTTCCTAAACCATATTCTAATTCCATAGATGGGATGTGAGGTTTCCCAGTATTCAGCTAGGCAGTAATAAAGTTCAGGATAGAACAACTTCAGACCGAAAAAAAGCACAAAACATTGTTCTTGTTACATGTACAGTTACCTTGGCTCTCTGATTTTGAAACCAGACTTGCACAACACGAACGCTGAGCCCTGTTTCTCTTGAAAGCTCTTCTCTGACCTTTTTGACGGAAGACAAACAAAAAAAAAATTGGTGCCTGCAATGACAATGTCTGAGAGGAAAAGGAAGGGACATAAACTAGATCATTCTAATCCGTAAGTCCGATTTCCCCCGCTCCTTTTGTAGGACGGTCAAAAGCTGAAATTTGAAGTCATGCTGTGGAACGCTATCATCCGAACCTGGTCATTGTTTATCGCCTGGAGGGTGGGATGGGGCGGTCTGGAGGATTTTGGTTTAATCACAATAACTTTACCTGTCCAACGATCCC